CTACTACTGCTACTACTGCTACACTGCTATACTGCTACACTGCTATACTGCTATACTGCTGCACTGCTATACTGCTATACTGCTATACTGTTACTGTTACTACGACGACGAACCCACCCCCCCCACCCCCCCACCCCCCGTTTTCCCAGCCACACCCAAAGCAGAAGGTCCGAAAGCACTCGAATTCGCTGTTCCAAACCCGAGGTCCACCTAGCCATGAGCTGGTTGGACGGATTGCAGAAGGCGGCCCTATTCTGGGCATTGGTTCTAGGGTTCAGAGCGGGATCCAGTTTGCTTGAGTTTTGTTGGGATGCACTTTGGTGCATGTTGGTTTCAGACAGTTTCGTAGTGGACCAGCAGGTGCACTAATTATAGAATCCTGTTGATTCATTTGCTACTTGTGTGGGACTATGGCGATCTCGAAGCTTGGAATCAGGATTGGTTTTCTGCTGATGCGAAGTCCCAAAACCAGCTGTCAATCTTCCGATGCTCTTGGCATAATGGATTTCAAGGGCTAAATCCCAGTGCGAACATCTTCTAGAAGGGCAACTGGCTTCAGTCCCGGGGCTCCGATTGCGAGTGCGTATGTGCCGGGGAAGGCAGGATCAATGCCAGGGCTTTGGCTGTGGAGCTCAGAGATCTTGCTACCTGCCGCACATGTCAGGACAGGTAGCATGCTCTGCCCTGGCACACTGTGCAGGACTGGGTACATATAGGACGTGACCCATGACAATGAAACCCTAAACCTGTCAAACCTCCTCGGAGTCTAACCTGAAAGCCCGAGTGAGAACGTGCAGGATGCTGCAGTAGAAAGCCCTATCAACTCCCTTAAGGCTGCACAAACTCTAAACAGCCCTTCAGAACCCCGCTGTATTTTAAAGGCCGAAGTCTTGAATTCAGCCCTGGCATGCCCGGGACGTGCTTGGAAGGGCTATGGCATACGGAGCTGCTGTCATGCTACCTGCGCTGCGACCGCTGTGGGCAGCTTGGGGAGGTGTCGTGTAGTTTTTATACCCTGAACCGGTCAATTACGGAGTATACCGGGCCTCCTCAGAACTGAACTATAGGGGTCCTCCGTCGATTCTGGGTCATGTGCAAACCTGAGTATTTATCTTGACAGGGGCTCCCCAAAAGAACGGTTGTGAGGGGATGATGATCCCTAAACCCTATAAACCCTAAACCAACCAAGAGCCCCCTCAACATCTCAGGAAAGAGAAAGGCTGGCGATGGGAAGCCGGTTGCTGCCCGCACCGAGATGCCCACGGCTGCCCAGGGCAGCTGTCGCTGGCAAAGAGGGCGGTTCCCGCATGCTTCGATGTAACGATGCTTGGCTCTGCTAGAGCTTTGGGTTTCGAGGATTTGGATCCGAGATCAGAATGATGGAGGCCAGTTAGAGACCACGCAAGCAACCAAGGGAGTGGGAGAGGCAGACACGCTTGGACTGCTACTGCCGCAGTCTCCGATATTTGCAGTGCGACAGCTGTGGCATGGTGCGACGAGAGCAGGGATGGTACTCCCCAGGGGCTCAGTGCGATCATCACGATACATTCGGTTGCCCTGGTCGGATGCATCTCTCTGGAGGTGGTGACTATACGTTCGCAGCTTTGCAACCGTGGGAGAAGTGGATGCAGAGGAAGTGCAATTGCATCGCCCCGGCGGTGAACCTGCGCCTGTGCTCCATTGCCGGGGAGGTTCGGGAAGTCGGTGTTCGGGACGATTGGACCATGGCTCAGGTGAAGCGGAAGATGCAGCAAGTCCATCTCATCCCGGCATACCAAGTGTGCTTGAGTGTCGGAGGGGCCATTCTGCAAGACCGGTGCGTTGTGAGCCAACTTCAGCTCAAGGGTTCCGAGACAGTGTCTTGGGTGCGCAGGCATCCAGACGTGGCTCTGTGGCTGAATCTCGTCCAGCAGGACTGGCAGAACATCCGGACTGCTCCGGACATAGCCCGCAAGTCGGCCGAGGTGATGTTCGAAGTGATGCGTCAATCGCACGAAGGGCTGCAGCATATGGACACCGAGTTGCTTCGTGACGCGTACTTCCTTGGTCAGGCCTGTGAAATGCGCGGCTTTCCGGGCTCCGACGTGCTTCCGTCAAGCAGCTGCTTTTGGCCTTACATGTGGTGTCTTTTTGTCGCTACAGACAGTATTGCGGAGCAACGTACCCTCGAAACCTGCGACTCGCAATGTTGCTGGCTCTCAAACGAACTAGAGTCAGGGCAAGAAGTCACCCATGACTCATGACTAGACGGTCCTTACATTTTGCTGAGAATCCTGGCCCTGCCCGAAGTCACTAGCAGTGCTTCACTCATGATGCATGACTTGTTACTTGTACTTCAAGCAGCTAGTCAATGCAAGACCGAGCATCCACTCACGTGCCCCCGTCCCCCGATTCTGGTTGAACTTTCGGGAGCAGCCTTGACGATTTTGATAGCGGAGGGGGTGCTCCCGTTCACGGAGGTCTGGTCTCCCGACATGTCATCGTCTCTTTCCCATCATGTTTTCAGTGACTAGGCTTGACAGCTCCCGGCCCCCCAGAAGATGCCTCCAAGGCAAAGGTGGTTGCAAGATGTCGTGGATGTGTTGCTGCTCCTCGCCTTCGCCGCAGCGACCAAGGACGAGGCTGCCTCGCAAGTTGCATTGACCTCTGCCGCCCTTTCAAAGACAAGCGCCTGGGACTCCGTGTCCCTGGTTGTGACGCTGGTTTCCAAGGTGGACCTGGCATTTGCCATCAGGTCCAGCCTCTTGGAGAGGCTCCAGGGGCTTCCGCCCCAAGCCTTGGCCGAGGGCTTCAACGACTGGGCCAAAGCCGACCTCGGCTTGGCCTTGCGTTTGCTTGAGGCCCAGCAAGCTGCCAGGGAGAACCCTGCCCGGTTCCGTGCTCGTCAAGACGGCCAAAGGCGCCTAAAGAACATGCCGAAAACAGCTTGGGGGCATCATGAATTCGCTTTTAAAGTCTTCGTCGACCATGAGGATCGGTTGTCAAGTGCCGACTTTGAGCGATTGCTTCGCCACATGGTCTTCAACAGGCTGCTCCCTGAAGAGGTCTTTCGGCTTGTCCTGGCATGTCTGGCCCATGCGCAGCCTGCAGCGGCTCGAGAGCTTTTCGTGTTCGCCGCCAACACGGATGAGACGGAAGCTATCCGGCTCATGCTGAAGACAGAACTCCCGCTGACAGCTCTGGGTGGCAACATGTCCGAGGTTGCACGCGCTTCCATTTTCCATGCAGTGATGTCTGATTGGGCACCGCATGGGTCGCGAGACATGGCTGCCCTGCTTTCCTGCATAGAAGAAGATCGCCGGCACATTCAGCAGCTTCTCACATGGGCTCGGGCGAACAAATGCGTGGCCATTGCAGCGAACCACCACTTGGAGGATGCCCTGCTGCTTGCCCTGGCGAGCAGAGTTGAGGTCGGCTCTCTTCTCATGTGCACTCTGGCTGCATGTGGTGTCCTACCTGCTGCACTAGCGCCAGAGATTCCCTTGGAGTGGCTGGGAGACTTGAGGGCACTCCCTGAAGGTAGGCAGGTCGTAACGCAAGGGCTCCTGGCACAGTTGGAGCCTTGTGAAGACGAGCAGCTAGTCCAGCGGATGCGCCGTTTCTGGCAATTCGAGGTGTGGTCACAGGTGGATGGCAGTACATGCGAAAGAGCTGTGAGATTGCTTTCCAGGTTCTGCCAAGCCGAGCAAGGCCCCGCCGCAGTGGTTTTTGCTTGCAAAGTCCTACGCGGGCTGCCCTTAAACGAGCTTCCCGGAGCCGAGCTTCTGTATGAGCCCTCGCTGCCCGCTCAAGGGATTGGAATCCGTGCGGAGCAGCTTGCGCATTCGTTGGCCAACGAAGCCAAGCAAGCTGCAAAGGGTGCTCTCGAGAAGGCTCAGGAGGCTCTGCGAGAGGCACAAAGAGCCCTACGCCAGGCCGAACAAGCCCATCGTGGGGCGGATGGAACGCGAGACTTGGCACGCCAAGCTGTACAGACGGCGCTGCGCGGCGAGCAGCTAGCGCTGCAGGCGCTCGAAGCGACGAGTAGCATCATGAGGCGCTACTGACATCGCAAGCTGCAGACGCGACAGGAAAAGATCCACCAATCCAAATCGGCAAACGTAGCTTCCGTCGTCAATCGATCTTTTCAGGGGGTATGTCGGCGATATACCTTCATTACTAGACCACACGGCACACCAACAAGCTCGTAGCCCAGTCTTGTCCTCTTGTCGACATCCACGGCCAGGTAGTTCTAGTCGATGGATCCCGTTTCGGTGGGTTCGGGCTTATTTTGCCAACCACCAGGATCTCCGAGGGGGACATTCACTGCCAGAGTAAAACCCCAGAGGCTAGACTGATCTAGACTGCACGCCCACAAGCCTTGGATGCAGGAGCAGAGGCTAGACCTCATCAATACGCTGAACGAGGTGACAGAAGGCAAGATTTTTGTGGAGGTGCGACTGCACAGAGAGTAGGCGCGCTTGTCTTGGCAGTGGCGTCTGGTCCTGAAGCCTGAACCCCAACTCAGCCCTACAAGTTTGGAGTAATGCTTTGGAAATGGTATGTTCGCTTGCAGTCTCTGTTTCATATATACCAAAACCCTGAACCCCAAGTTCTAATCTGTAAATAATGAATCATAAACCCCCTATGTACTACAATTAGTACAGTGACGGACTATTGGACTAAAACAGACGAGAATAGACTAAGTATACGTGTGAGAAGGGCTCGCAAGTGACTCGCAAGTGCCATGCTGAATACAGGGGCCTCAATGATCGGAGCATGCTTCTTAGAATAAGGTTCTTTTAAGCGGTTCTATAAGGGTAACTTTTGCAGGGCTTCGGCCCTAATAATGAGAATGGGGGCTGCAAAAGAGCGCAATGAGGGCTTTTTGAGTTTGGTGTTTTGCTAGGACAGATCATGATGTAGGGGCCGGAATATTCAACAATCAGAGTGGGGTTTAGGATCAAGTGCAGTACGCATCTACGGGAACGAAGCTGTAACTAGGAGATACGGTTACTAATCCAGAGGCTCTGCGGGCCGAAGACTTCGAGTTCTTGTTGTTTCTGTGCGTGGACACCGGTGGTGTACCAACTGGTTTTTGTATGTTATGCCTCGAGACTTGTTCTATCCTCCTAAACCCTCTAAACTTGTCTGAGTCTGCCGGCTGCTCCTGAATCGGCCGGCAAACGGAGCTATAACGAAACAGAGCTCAGTCGTTAGAGCGTCCAGCGGCCAGGTGGAGAAGGCACGCCTCACTTCGATGTTGGCCTGCATCTCGGTCGGTCGGCGCGGCTCTATAGGAAGCAGGGGTCGAGGGCCTTGGGAAAGGGGTCGAAGTCCTGGAATAAGTACTCTGAGTATGCTACGCTGCGCATGTGACGGGACTACGTATAGGAATATCGCAACTACCTCTTGAAGCTGCACGGCGGAACCCATCGAGCTCCACGGGAGTAACAGAAGATAAACGAGCTTCTCTGTGTGTGTGTATATATATTCATATACACATATAGTAGGAATTCTTTGTCAGAATTTGACACACCCTAATTCACATGTTGTTGGGCTTCTACGTCTTGCTTTGTCTGCCCCAGGCTGTTGAACTTTGGCCGGCATTCCGAGGCCAACATGAAGGAGGAGGAGGGCAAGGTAGACGAAGCAGCGAGCCTGATACAAGAGGTTCAGGCAGGGCCCCTGCAGCTGTGGAGGGTTGGTTCATGGGGCCTTCTTGGATTTGTCTGGTGCCTTCTTCTACATCCAGGCCAAGCTTGGCCCCCCTTTTATACACCCACTCATTCTCACACACAGACACACACACACATGCACTTTTGCAAGCACAGCAAAACAAGCAGAAAGAAACAAGCACAGAGAGAGAGAGAGACAGACAGACACAAAGACAAACACAAACACACGGATCCACAATGCTGCACGGCTGCACCTTCAAGTCCTCATGCCTAAGTCAGGATCCCATAACAAACCCTCTAGGTGCTTCACCCACCAAAGGGGAACAGCCCAAGCACCTGCTGAGGGCTTTGGGGGTGGTACCTTCGGTTTCTGGTCTAGGTTTGGGGTTGACGGCTTAGTGACTTTCATGCTTTGCTACAGGTGGAGTCCTTCGGAGCTATGGAACGGCGCGAGAAGACAGCTGCTGTGGCTCAAGCTAGGGGGCCGGGGCTATTCTGTACAGGGCTTTCACGGGTACAGGGCCTATGATCCGTCTATGAGAACTGTAGTGAATGTAGTACCTTGAGACTGTTGGGGGTTTTGGATTGAGTGCCCAGGGTCGTGGTGGTTTTGAGAGTTGAGCTTTCAAGAGATTGTCGGCGAGGTTTGTTATGGCTTTGGGTGATGACCTTCTGACGGGCTTAGGGTCCATGTTGTACCACGGCCTTGTCCATAAACCCTTTAGGCCAACGGCCTTGTCCATGAACCTTAAAGGGCCCTATCCGGGCCATTTGACACCTCGCATTCACAACCCCCACTTCGCACCTGAGGGCGCTAAGCCGGCCCTAAACCCTAAGCCTACAAGCTCTAAGCCCTATACCTATGCCTCATATGCCCTAAACCGTAGGAACGCACCCAGAAGGGAAGCCCAAGAGCAGTGAAACCCAAGGAGTACATCCTGAATCAGATGCGCCTGGTCCTTGCGAAGAAGGACTTCGCGGGGAGCTCAGGACAGGTTGAGTTTAGGGTTTCGTTTTGTCACAGGGATGATAAGGGGCCCCTGTGGAGGGGACCCCCGTGGGTTTCACGTTTGCCGAATGGGCGTGCTGCGGCCCAAGATGATCATTAATACTAGATGACTATGTATCTATGTATGTATGTATGTATGCATGCATGCATGCATGTATGTATGTATGTATGTATGTATGTATGTATGTATGTATGTATGTATGTAGTTGTCTGTGTATGTATGTATATATATATATATATACTTATTTATATTTATTACCATCACGGTGATATGGGGTGGGAGGTGGGGGTGGGAGGAGGGGCACATGAGCATGCAGTATAAAGTCAAAGCTGAAAGTTCCGGGTTGACTTAGGGCTGGCTTAGCGATGTCTGCAAATTGTTGAGATCGGAAGTTTTTCATTCACTGCACTAAGCACCTAAGTGCTTCGTGTCTTCGTCGTAGCAGGAGCAGCTAGTAGTAGGATGAGAGGAGGAGGAGGAGGTACGACAGCAGCAGCAGCAGCAGCAGCACCACCACCACCACCACCACCACCATCACCACCATCGTTACCAGCAGCATACGCGTGTAGCGTCACGATTATGATCGGGAGACTGGTTATTGATGGTTAGTAGCAGTCGTACTGGCAGTGGCAGTATCAAGCAGACGAGGTTATGTTTTGTTGCAGCCGCTGTAGCAGTAGAAGCGCTTGTCGAGCAGGCATGGGAGCAGCAGCAGCCTCAACAGAAGTGCAAGCCGAAGCAGCCATATCATCACCACCCTGTGATCTTCGTGACGTGCACTACAACCGCCACACCCGGCATCGCCACCTTCTTGTAAGACTCCTCCTCCTCCTCCTCACCAACATCATCATCATCATCGTCATCATTATCATCATCATCACCACCGATTCTCCAAAAGATCAGTTCTCGCCACTTTAACATCAGCAGTTTCACCAAGTAATGTAGAACCTACCTCCATGATCACAATCACCTTTTTCCTCCCTACCTTCGTATCATCGTCGATGTCATCATGTTCATTCAAGTGCCAGCTTCCTGGTCTTTGGCCTTGCTCGATTGCAGAGGTTATCACCCGAACAAAAGAGGAGGAGCACCAGGAAGAGATTGCAGGAGCAGGCAGAGGCAACACTGGAAGCAAAGCCCAACATCCAGAGCAGCAAATCTTCTCTGGGATCCGACAGTTCTTGTACTGCCAGCCTTGGAAGGTCCGGACCCAGATCATCAGTAGGAAGATCAACCCGAAGCTCCTCGACGCAGACGACTTCCAGGAGATGCCCTCCCACCCCCGCTTGACCCATGCAGTTCCGCGAATTTCTTCCCAGAACGATTTAGGGTCTAGGTTTCAGGGTTTATCGTCGGGATCGCGTACCCAGAGCCCCGGGCCTGAATCTCTCCCCTGCCACTGTAAGAGGATGGACTCCTCATGATCCGGTTCACTGGGGGGCTCCAGGGGTTCAAGGCGTGTAAGGCGGGCTCAGTGTTCAGGGGGTGCAACCTGTACCGGTACCGCCTCCTTGAGGTTTGGTTGTATAACTCTCTCACACTTTCCACTTTCTGCCGGGGTCTTCTGCGCCCTTCCGGGCAGAAGGGCGTGGAGCGAAGGACTTGAAAATCCGATACTACGAGTACATGTCCGGCTCTGAGATGCTTTGAGGAGCGTAGCTCAGAAGCTTAGAGGCTTAGATGATTCAGGTGCTTCGGGTGCTGGAATCTACGAGTGAAAGTATCAGGGTGCCGGCTGAGGATCAGATACTGGCTGCATGAGGGGAAGTTCTTGGATGTCGCCAAGTGCCTCGGCAATAATCTCCGTCTCGGGGCCTCACCCTTCATAATTACTGGGATGTGGCCCGGTGTTCACGGTTTTCGGTCGGGGCTTTCGGATGTCTGAAACTCGGGTTTCGGTTGCACAGAACGAACTGCTTCGGCCGAAGTGGGTTAGGAGGCTGGGTGCTCAGCATACAACAAAATTGCTACGCCAATCAAGCACTGCAAATCCCACAGGTTTATGACTATATGAGCTTGGCATGGATTGGCACATGGCATGGTGAGTGAGAGATGGGGAACAAGGAATCATTGCCAATGAATGCATGCTCAGCAGCAAACTGTAATCATGGCCTATCTCCTGCTCTTCTTCTAAGTCTGAATGCTCCTCTTCAAGAGCCATGCGATACACGCGCCGAACAATGCTTGCTGCTACCTACTTCTGTAGCCTTGCCATACCCACAGGGAGGACGCAATGATGCATTTACAGGTCATCAGCCAGAATCGTGGTGCTAGTAGCTGCTAGTAACTAGTAGTAGCTGTTGTAGCACAACGGTCACGAAGAACAACGGTAGTGGCAGCAGCAACACGCCCGAACAACCGAAATAGCTTCAATATGATTTAGTGTATGCCAGATTGGATCAGCATCACATATAGCAACGACGGCCGACACTAGCAAGCCTCGGCAGCAAACCGAGACGGCAGCAAGGTGCACCTTGGCGATCTTCAACACGCCCTCGGTCAAGTCCGACGAGTCCAAGTGGATAGAGTGGCTTACGGCCCGGTTCCTGGCTGGTAGTTACTTGCCGCCTATGTGTGGCACGGCAAAGCACGGAAGCCGAAATGAACCTCCCATCATCCCCCATCCCGACCAGCTGGACCTGTCTCATTTGGGATGTCCAGCCAGACCCCACTGTGGGCCAAAAGGCCTTACATGATCATCCATCCCGCTACCCACTTTTTGCCGCGCATATCTACCTATCTTTTTATTAAGATGTTGTTGTGTAGAGCTGTAGAGCCCTTCTGCATAGCCCGACATGCATGAGTGTATGCACGTCGCCGACGACAGCTTGTTGCTTTGTTCGGCTATATGGAGATTCTGATGTCTTTTAGTTGTGAAGCCCATCCGGGAGACTGGAGAGATCCGTTCGTCGTACACTCAAGTCGAGTGCCTCGTACAGCTCTTCCAAACCACAGCATCAAGCTAACCTCAAGATGAGTAGTCCATGGCAAAAGAGATGGGCGTCGCAGCTTGGCCCCGACTCAGAAATCTTAGATGCTTTCCGCTGTGCCCTTTCAGCGCCGGAGTCTGTGGATGCTGCGTGGTGAGACACAGGCTTGCATAATTGGGCCGTTGCCACAAAAATGTCCATTCTAACCAATCAATATCTGCGCCAAGTGCAAACTGCGATAGGGCACAGCGTTCAATCGCAGATGCCACAGCCACAGTTTATCGAGGCTTCTAGGCCCTACTAGGAGCCAAGTATCCAGACATTCTTTACTGTAAGTCCCTCCCTATTGCCTTGTAAACTCCTTAAGGTTCAAGGCTGGGTTTTTCAAGTTAGTTAGAGTTGATGTAGAATACGATGAAAGTTGCTAAAGATGGTTCTGAAGCGGGATGAACAAGATAGGTGTATTCCCCCACCTAGCCCTGCAAGCATGGCCTCAGGCCTACTGCATCTACCTGGCCTGGGCCTCGGATGCCTGTGGAATCCCTGCAAGCCGGTGTTCTTGACGTGAGCTATCCGATTTCTGTGGGTTTTCACAGGGTTGACGAGAAGGGTGGGGCCGGCGTCTGAGGACCACAGGAGTTCTTCTGGTTGTACTTTCCCTGGCGGCCACCTCCGTGAGGGAGTTTCGGTCTCCGCTCTCATATGAGACGGAGGTCAGCAACGTCGACTATTGGTTGAGTCGAGGGTGGTTGACTAGCAGCGAGGCCTTATAACTGAGGCTGCATGGGGGAGCAAGGACGATACCCAGGAGACAGTTTGCAAATACTGTAGAGCGACACGAGACGTCGCCATCTCACGCAGGTCTTCTCCAGACTAAGGTGCCCTACGAACCTGATTGAATGAACAGACAGAGAAGCCCCCGTGCGTTGCTTTCAGGTGCTGTCTCCTTATGACAACGAGCATGACGACATGCTCCAAAAGCGTCTCCTGCTTGTCTTTCAAGGTTTTCGATTTAGTTTGCTTTGGTATCTCGACGCTCCTGAACTCATCTAAGGCTCTGACTAATTAACGCCAGCTTTCGTTTTCCCAGACTGTTTCGCCCTCTAGGCTTAGGCTATGCGTGACAGTCTCAGACCCTGACACCCGGAGCCCTAAACGCTTTGAAGTTCAATCCCTCCCTCTTTCGCCGTGGAGCTCAGCAGCGGCTCGTAGCTCCAGAATCCAGAACCCAAAGCCCGAGAAGTCCCACGCGGAACCGACACACACAAAAAAAAGGGCCCAGAGCCCATGAGGCCTCAGGTTCTCCCATCACTGCATTCAGCGGGGTCGGCCATGCCAGGCTGGATAGCCTCGAAGGCAAAAAGCTAGACAAGGCGCGCCTGGAGGAAGGGGGCCCGGAAGATCGAAGAAACCTCGGGTCCACAAGCTGGGGCATCCAAGATCCATTGGAAGTCACTACACCCCGAAAGGTACAACGCTTCAGGTTGGATCCAATTTTGCGGCGCTGTTTCGGATTCGAACTTGTTTGAAGGTGTTCTTCTCAGCTGTCTTCACAACGAGGATCCATTCAAGGGCCCCTTGTTTTATGGATCTCCGATCTCTGGCGCAGGTTCCGACGTACAGGAACTTGATCAGGATCTTCATGAAGAAGGCAATCGATTCGATGGCATGTGGTAGCGTCGCCACCTCGTTTAGAGTTTATGGTTAGGGCGGGTCGACAAATGCAATCGGTTTTGGGGCTTTGGGGGTGGTGTACTCTGGATCTTCATCAGCAAACTTCTCTAGGAGCATATTTGGTTTCCAACTCCCAGAGGCTTCTGAATTCGACCATTGAGAGCTGTTTTCCCGGATTTGCATACCGCAGCGCTGAAGCCCCTATGGCGCCCGAGGAATCGCCTCAATAGTTGTTGCAGCTCTCATGTCAGACTGTGCATAAACCATTCCTGCCTCACCGTGCCTCACCCATCATCACCCCCTCCTCCTCCCCCCCCCAAGGTTCCGAGTATCCCAAAATATCAAACCCACCCTGAACTCGCCAAGCTCCAGCAGCCACTACTACAGCCAGAGTGCCGCTGACCTTGAGGAGATCGTGAACTGGCCCCTCGCCAAAGAGGAGGAGCTGAGGAAGCACGCAGTCTTCCAGGACTCGCCCCACGAGGGCGCCAAGGAAAGATGGGAGCTGCTGAAGAAGCGCGTGGTGCAGCACAACATCAAGGCGCCTTTCCCATGGTGGAGAGAGCTGTGCAGCGGGTTCCCAGGCGTTTTTTTTGTACCGCAGGGCTTGGGAGATTAAAGGCGGAGGACTTCAGATCTCGAGCGTCGCGCACAGCGGCCTCTATGGGAGTTTTGCGGTTCAACATGGAAAGGTCGGCTGCCAGGGCTGGTCACACCTGTATGCCGCAAGTTGCCGTCGAGGCTGTAGGGGACCAGACTGTCGCAAAGTCAGATACGACTAGGTTGGAAGCCTGGTGGGACTTGCTAGACAGCTCTTCCGTTCCCCGAGCCGTTCATACTTGATTGTTTTCCCAGCTGAACACCCAAGGTACCCGAGAGTTTAGGCGAATCATCGGAGGCTAGAAACTACCGTTGCCTCCCTGTCAAGCAGTTCATTCCCCGCCTACCGCATAACAGTGGCAGGGTATGGGAATCCTTGCACTTCTTGGATTCTTGGCTGGAGGTCGTGTCAGAGTATTACGAGCAGATCCACACGAAAAGACTCTGCGAGCTCGTCGGTGCGCTCCTGAGTCGATCCTGCCTAGGCCTTCTACTTTTTTCGGGCTCAGGGTTTGAACCAGGGTGTAGGGCTTTAAGGGCCTAAGGCTTAAGGGCTTTCAGGTAGACACAGCGGGGTTGTGGGTCCTTATTCTGGTGAGCTCTACCATACATAGGCGCCTTGAGAGACAGCGCTGAGTACAGCCCTTACCTGTGCGGTGCACTCTGTGCGGTGCTAGGCTATGTCTTGCCTTTGAACTCCAAAAATTCTCAAACCCTAGCCGCCCTAGCCCTACACATCCCTGAACGCGGACTGCCCCAAATCCTTAAATCCTGACAAGCTTAATAACCCGTGCAGGACCTGACGGTACCTGCTATAGCCACCCTGAAAGTTAAACCTGTAAGCACGAATACTTTCCGGAGGCCTCGGGGACAAGGAGACCGAGGAGGAGTTGTCCGAGCTTGTCTGCTCGAAGTTGCTGTGACGAGAAGTCGGGGCTGTTCCTTTTCTCACCCTGAGGGACTACCAAGTAGCCCCCATTTGGGTACTTTGGGGCCAAAGTATCTACTATTTGGGTACATGGACCCTTAGGGTCAGGGTCTAGGGTAGGGAGGGCTTTTGGGGAAATCAGAGCGTAGACGGAGCGCTGGAGCGTTCGTGGTTTAGCTAGAGTTCGCTGGGGGCTTAGAGTTGAGCCTAGGGGACTTATGGACGGGTTTGGAAGTTGGAGCCTAGTAGCTCGTGTTTGTGCTTCTTTGCTCCTTCAGGCCTTAGCCCTACGTTTGGAGTTAATGTTCCGGGCTCACGGATGCTGGGCTCTGGAGTGTAGGGTCGTGAAAAGCGCAAAAGGATGGGAATCCGAGAGCACAGATATACGAGGTAACCGGTGTGACCTTTAACTTGCCTTTGCTTGTACTGGCCTCATGATGGGCCTGATGGCTTTTTGTTGCCTCTAACGGCTTAGGAATTTAGGAATGTTTAGGATGGTTGAAGGAAAATGTAAGGACGAGCACTCGCTTGTTCTTTCGCTTCCTATCCATAGACAGTTTGCAATCCCCAGCCAACCAAAAAAATCCAAACCCCTTTTGCACACTCTCCATTCCCAAGCCTCTTAGCCCTGAGGTTCGTGTATGCGCGCATTGACCGTCCTGCGGGCACCATCAAATTCGGCCGGGGGCCCGGTGTAGGGCCAAGAGATCGAGAAATCGAGGTGCGGGGTTCAGGGATCAGGGCTTTGGGGACATGGGGCTTAAAGATGTGAAGTGAGGGTTCAGGGCAGACTTGGACTGAAGCTTCGAGACGCCTTGGGGCGGCTCTGGACCTCGAGGTCTAGGCGAGGCTATGCGGAAATAGAGTTTGGGTCTCGTTATCTCATGTCAGGTTTCGGGTAGTATAAGTACTTCATCTCCATTTCGTAACCGCATAAGCCCTCTTCACCGAAAACTTTACCCTGGCGCCTTTTTACGCATGACAGGGAGTACAACGGATAAGTTGCCCGCGTGGAGACCAGTGCCCTGCCTTGACCCCTTCGAAGGTAAAAAGCAAACCTACATAGATCGGCTGAACAGCTGGTCGGGGCCTCGGGCGCAGCTGCTGGGAGGGGCTGGGCTGTGTGGCTTTAGCTCTCAGGTTTTGAGATTCAGAGCTCAGGGTTAAGATTTAGGACAGTATTGCCCTTGCTGTCACCTCACCACTCATCAGGACTCAGTAACCCTCACAGTAGTTTATGATATTTGTGATCCAGAGCACCTCAAGAAGGGCCCCTCTTCTCTTGTTGCTGTCGCGGGCGGTTCCTGATCATTGCTGATTTTTGGTAGTGACAATGACAGGGTACCAGCGCAGGACTGTGTAGTCTGTTTCTGAACAGAACAGCTCCGATCTTCTAGTGGGAGTTCGGAAAGATATTTTCGGGACTCTAAGAAGGGACCCGGAAATACGAACCTGCTATGGCAATGCTTTTTGGCCTGGCACAGTTCCCTTGGCTGGCTGTCACCCACATATCACTGTACCATACACACGTCAGACCCCGAACCTGATTTAATCATTGTGATTTCCTTTGCCAATGCTCCAGCCCTTATTCTAGGGAAGCCCCGCCTTAGACTCCAATCAGGTCTGACAACATCACGAAGATGCTGGATCTGGTCGAAAACACCAGCGGCTCGGCACCGGATCCGAAACCCAACCCCCCGAAACGGATACAGGGGTCTGAATAGTTAGTGATGAGCATTCCCTCTTCAGCCCTTGTATGAACACACTGTAGCATACCCACGAACCCTATACCGATGATTTAGGCCCCCAAAAGCAGTCATTCTCCAGCAAGTTTATGTCGAACGCCTCACGGGCCTTCTTTTGGCCCCACCCCAGGCCAGTATAGCCCCAGAGCAGCAACTTGAAGCCCTGGGATCGTGGAACCCAGCACCGAGAGCCCTGGGATCCCCTGGATTTTAGGGGCCGAACTCCGAACTCCGAGGTCATCTCATCCAGAAGGAGCAGATGGTTCATGCCGCGAGGGCCAAGCTCAAGAGCAAGAAGTAGGCACTTTCGAAGCCATCCCTCGCCCCTGACCAAACCCTACCTTCAGTATACCCCCAAAAACCCTATTCTAATTGTTTAGGCCCCCACTTTTGGTGTAGAGATTATCCGATTCTGTCGGCTTCCCGGCACACCCAACCCTTGCAGCCACGCGGAAAACGTAACCTAATGCTAGGCGCCATAGCGCATCGGAGTGCCTTGCTCACGCTATGTCCCGGCGCGATCTGTCTCATGCGATGCGTGACAAAACAAGAGCCGGTCGAAGCACATCCGCTTGAAGCAACCTGATTCCTTACCGCAAAGGACAAATGTTGCACGTCTTGCTAGTGCAAAGACCTGTGAGCTTGCAACAACTTTTGCTACATGCCGAACTTTGGCTCAAGCTGCCTGCCCGACGCAGGAAATGCCAGTAGCCATGACATGGGGCTTGGAAAAGGGGTTTACAAGGACAAGGGCTTCATGGGGGGGGGGTGTGTAGATTCATAGTCCTAAACCCAGGAGTATGATGAACCCCGTCCCCACCTCTAAAACCTTGAAGTGCTGCCTCAGCTCGAATCCAAGAGCTCCTAAACTCCAACCGTGCAAACCCTAAGCACATCTTTCAGCCGAAACCTTTGCTAGCCCGGAAAGGATGTGACATTGATGGGTCTGAAGCTGTGGTTCATCCCTAGCAGCCCTAGCAGGACCATTTCACTATAAGTTATGCCGCAGGTTTAACGGTTTAGTGCTTCGGGGCCTAGAGTTAACAACCGGCCTTCGTGGCCTAAAAGCATGGAATATGGGTCTTTGTAGCAGCCTCGTGGTTCATGCATCGCCATGCTCCTCGCCTACCCGCTTGCCATGATGATTGGGGGAGGGCGCGGCCAAAGGTCTCGCATATCCTCGCATTTCTCACCTTCACTGTGCTGGCGGCACCTGGGACTGTTCACGGCCGATTGTCGGCTGAAGGTGATCAGCTTGTCATCACTATCCCCGTCGCGAAGTTAAGAAGGGATAGCCCCTCACACCCACTCTTGGATTTGCCGACGAGCGCAAAGGTTCTCATTGATGTCGGAACGCACAGAGAGTCGACATTTCTAACGCGGCTGCACCACGATCCCACAGCATGGGTAATCGCCTTCGAGCCGGATTACCTGCACTACTCACACCATGTGGTAAAACATGCCCACCCCCGGATGATCTTGATCAATGCGGCAGTCGGAGACAGCACAAGGGGCTGGGCCTCTTTTTACCGATGGTCCTACGAGGGAGCGGGATGGCACTTTAACAGCGGTGATCAAACACAGCTGGGTTCATTGCTCCAGGCCCCTGGTCCTGGAATGAAAGCGCGAGAGGAGATGAAGGCGGAGGTTTCTTAATAGCTAGGCTATGCGCTTGTGCTCCTTACATGAAGGCGCTTGTTTTGCTGAAACCTGAAGGTATCCTGAACCCCAAAAAAGCCGTGAAGCCTGAAACTCTGAGCCCTAAACCTCGAAGCCTATAGAGCCCTGCAGCATCAGGGCCCCCCTCAAAACCCCCAGCTTAGCCTCCCCAGGTGGCGGTGGTGTCGCTGCGAGACGTCCTGAGCTTCCTTCCCGGCCGTGTTGAGATCCTTAAGGTCGATGCCCAAGGCAGGGCCCAAGTTTTGTGGGTAGTAGGGAGACCCCTTTAAAGGGGACCCTTCTGAAGCCCTACTTCTGGCTCTCTGAAAAGGGACCTTGCTGACCGGGTCTACATCCCCAAGGGTCTCCCTAATCCGAACACCCCCTCAGTCTTAGCAGGCGGAAGCCTAAGTAGTTACCTATATCTTTCGAAATACCTCCTGTCATAGCCATACTATGATAAACCCCAAAACGGCCCAAAACCATGGTCTAATTACCAAGGCCCCCGTTTTGTATGTGTTTCGTCATAGGATGTTTGGAGAGTTTAGTCTGGTTTTCATAGGTTTTGAAGAGAACTTCTACCACAACAAGGAACACCGATCATTTGCCACAGATCCCAGTGCTTCTATGGTATCCAAAGCTTTATGTTGCTTTGCAACAAGAACTGAGCCATGGGTTCTTCTTACC